CACCAAGAACTGTCCTTGGTTAGGTTATAATGAATTTGAGAGACCATACTAAACCCCATGCATTGAAGGTCCTCTCAGGAAGGAAGGATAGAGAAGAAGGTGATAAAATCAACTATTTTTCAAATAAATAGACTTGCAACTGTAAAGGCATATACAAATTAAACATAAGAGATTCAAATTCTCCCTGTTGAAAATAATGGAAGAGACCCCTGTCCTTTTCTTAGAACATTTACTTTAGAAAATTTATAATTCTAAGTTCTTTCTCTCTGTTTCTTTCTTTGAATTTATATATATATATATATATATAAATTTATATATATATACATATATTTTGAATTTATATATATATATATATAAATTATATATATATATATATACATAAATCTTTAGAAGTAAAGTAAGCTTCTTGCCAGGTTTCCACCAGGGGATGCCTTTCTCAAGGGCCTGGGGAGTATCTCTTTGAAACGGAGTCACCAAGGAAGAGCATACCCTATCTCTAATTTCCTATGGGAGGACAGAAGCTGAACTTTGGTGGATGAGTGCCTAAAATCTACCTGTTGTCATAAAGATATCAGAAGCTTATTTTTCTATTGTATAAAGCCTATTATCTACCACAGATGGTCACTCCAATTACCAAATAAATCTAATATGAACAATGTGTGATAAATGGTGCTATCAAGACTTCTTCAGGACTGTAAAAAAAAAGTAAGACTTCTTGAGGACTAGTTATTGTTTGTCTTGAGAACATGTATGTAACGGATTATGTCTACTTGGATATATAAAAGGGTGATATTTCTGTCTTTGTAGTCTTTTAGCAAATTGCTTACAGTGTGCATCACATTCTGGTACAATAATAAAAGTATTTTCTTTTTTGTCTGCCTTTATGGAGAGGTTTACTGGATTGAGAGAAGATCTTATTTTTTATCCCCATTACAACACCTGAATAAGCATAGCCTCTTGATGGTTCTACTTAAGAATGTAAGATAGTTCCCTTTCTACTTAACCAAGTAAAGCCTAGAAAACCTAGAAAATGGTCTAGCACATAGCTGGTATAAAATAAATATTACTTGCCTCTGTCCCCAAGTTCACATAAAAATTATAAGTACCATAATTTATAATTGTGGGGTTGACTGTATCCCACAGTTTCAGATATGGACATATGACCCAGGTCTGGCCATTCCAATATCCACTTCCTCAATCCCAGACTGATGGATTAGTTCATGGATGGACACATGGCCCAAGCTGGTCCACTTAACACCCCTCCCACCTCACCCCAACATCCTGCCATAGATGTTGCTGAAACTTTGGCAAAAGGAGATTTCTTTCAAAAGGAGGAGTCTAAGAACCTGGTAAGCCTAGAGTAGAGTTTCTCAATTTCAGCACTACTGACATTAGAGGCAAATGATTTTTGTCGTGAGAGGCTACCTTGTGCATTGTTTACAGGCTAGCGTCTCTAGCATCTACTCCTTGATGGCAGTAGCAGCATCTCCCTTGCCTCCTTAAGTTGTGAAAATACAATGTCTCCTAACGTTGCCGAATGTTTCCTGGAGAAAAAAATTGCCCCTAGTTGACAACCGCTAGCCTAGAGTCACCTTGAGCCACCTTTGTCACCATATGAAAAAAAAAACGCTTAAGAATAAAACCCTTAGAGAAGAGAGTAAAGCCCAGAGACAACAAGGCCGTGAAAGAGAGGCCAATGCATCAATGGCATCCTTTAAGACTCTAAGTCCAAATGTACTTAAAGTGAAAATCACTATTGGATGTTTTCAGTAATGTGGGGCTTTTAAAAATATATATATATATATGTTTGTGTAAGTTATATTTAGACATGTTTCTTACATTTGCAACTGAAATAGCCCTGATCGATATTGTAACTACTATACAACTTAAATGCAAGTAAAGAGAATAGATATTAAGCTGAAAATTATCATGAAGTGTGATAAGAATAATGGTATGGAAATTCTCCCTTGGATCGTTGGCTGAGAAGCCTTGTTGATTTACTCTGTGTAGGACAAACTCCCAATACAGAAAGCAAAGTGGAGAAGGTCTGAGAGCAAATCTGAAGGGTCAAAAAGATTTCCATAAGAGATAAAGCATAACCAAATGGAGAAGGGCTTGTAAATACATTACATAGTTGGTCCTATATCCTTAGCACAATGGAAACTACTCAAAGATTTTATACAAGAGAGGGCCATGATCAGATTTCTCTTTCTGAGACAAGACTCTAGCTGAACCAAAATAGATAGAATTAGAAGGGAAAGAGTCTCATACTGGGAAGCTAATCCATGTGACAGTGGAGATGAGGGCAGCTTTCAGAATTGTTTAAGAATCACATTCAATATTCAGTGCAAAAATGACTACTAAATTTTTGGCTTGGGAAACCTGTTGGATTGTTGATGCTGTGTACTGATATACAAAATTGTTGAGAAGGAACAGATTCAGGGAAGATAAATAATAAATTCAGTCTGGAACATGCTTCTTTTGAGGTGCTTATGAAGCATTTAAGTGGAAAATATACCAGAGGTAGTTAGATATATGGGTGTAAAGCTCAGGGCTGAAGATGTAAAATGGTGAAATTTCAGGATGAGAATGGTAATTAAGCTATAAGAGAAGATAATCTTATCTAAGAAAGGTAAGGAGTGGGAGAAGTTCAGGGTGTTGATCTGATTAGTAGTTCAGTTATTGCTTTATATATAAATTAGCATATTCATGAACATGTAAATTAAGCTGAGGTTATACAAAGAAAAATACACCAACAACAGTCATCATTCTAATTTAATGTGACTTATGCTAAACATTAAAAACCAAGGCTAAGCCAACAATATGAGACATGAGGAAGTGTATACTGAAATAGGACAGAACTCCAGCAAGGAAAAAGTAGAAGGTGAAGTGACAGATATGGCACGGAGAAGAATAAAATGATTCAATAACTGATCTTGATCAGTGGTCTCCACTCAATATCAAAAATAATTTTTGAGAAATAAATATCAAATGTTAATACCTTCCTTGCTATTCCTTCACTTGGTGTGCCATTATCTTGTATGCCATAGCTCTGAATTTTATACCCTAATCTTCATTTTCTTCTCTATAATTTTCTTAAAGAAATACATAGATAAGAAATCAAAAAGAAACCAATCCTAGAAACCTAAAACTTCTAATCAATTTTAAATCTTAAAAAGCTTAATTAAAAGAGCATTAGTTAAGCACACAGGACAAATACATGCATCAAAGCACTGGTGATATAACATTTTTGTGTTCTAACTAAAGCCTCACATAAGCTACTTATTCACAGATTCTGTAGTGAATATCTGTTGTATTGGTCTGTGCAGCATCCATTCCAGTTTCTTCAGGTATAAATACCTTGATTTTCCTTTGAAAACCCAGAGTTCCCCAACTCTAGATCTATGTGGTTTTAAAGCGGTTGACCTTGCCTTCTGGTTTCTTGAGCAAGTATATGCCCTAGGATATCCAATGAGAATACCACTTTCCTCTAAATAGGATCATTAGTTCAGGAATTACTTTATGACCTAGGTAAGGTCAATAAAACCAAATCTGAAACTTTTGATAAAATTATAGGTTTCTGGTGCTGTATTTGTACCTGGATGGTTAATCTAGAACTGCTGGTGGCAATTGTTCTTGCCACCTATTGGGAGGCACATGTCTCAGAGTAAGACAAATATAAGGAAGTAAAAGCTAAACTGAGGCAAAAGAAACTAAATCTTGATATTCTAAATCCAGCCAAGTCCACTTCTGGACTTCTCAAAGATGCAAACTAATGAGTTACTTAAACCATCTTAAGTCAGGTTTCTGACAGTTACTACTATAATAGAAATTAACATACGGCTTAAGGTTTTATATTTGATTCCAAATTATCACCTTCTAATAAATTTTACAAAATTAAAATTTAAGCAGAATTTGTCGGAAATAACTGATCAAGTGTAAAAATTTAGGATCTTACTGAATAAATTCCAAATCATTAAAAGAAATATGTTGAAAATTTGAAGAAAAAGAAATTTTTGAAATAATGGTTTGTATTGTTTTTTGCATCTAACAATTGCCTTATATGTTTTTCTTGACTAGTAGATAGATAGATAGATAGATCTCCCTTATTCTCTTATTCTTCACAATGAGCTTTATAATTAATAGCAAAGTATTTTCAAAATGCTTTGAAAACTGCCTATATTTGCTACTTCTGTAGGTAATAATTTTTTATTTAGGATACAGTTCACAATGATTTTTACAAAGACAATTATTTTTATTATCTTGTAGAATTCTTAACAATAATTATATGCCTTAATATTGTGGAGAATGTCAAAATAAACTTAAAAGTTGCAAAACACGAAGTCATATACAATCTTACGATATTGAAAAGATAAGAGTTTATTTCACATAGATGAATTAATTAATACTACCAACTGAGAAATTATGAAGTAATGCTTTCCTGATTAAGAAGGAATGCCTGGCTTATTTAATTTAAAAAATAAAATGTCTATCCTTCTGCTTCAGTGTGCTTACTATTCTTGCCTTATTTTTATCCAGTACCTTATTCTATAGTTTTAGCATACAGATTTCTCTCATCTCTAGTTGTAAGAAGTATCCTATCCTCACACAGGAAATTTTTACCATGACATTTAGAATTTGTATCACCCATTCTCTCTGTTGATTAGAAAGTTAGCATTGCAAAAGTGAAAAAGATATTCACACATTAGGAAATCACATTCCACTTTACAAATTAAGACAAAAAACTTCAAGATACTAAATCACTAATTACTGGTTAAAGACAGACATCTATCTCTAATAGAAATATATGTATATATACAAAATCCCCTTATCTTTATGTTTAATGGCAAAAATACCATATCCTTTGAATAAAATTATTGAAGGAAATATATACTCAAAATATATTATTAATTTTTGACCTTATTAAGCCCTAACCATCAAAAAAAAGTACATTTTTAGCAATCTTCCAAAGGTAATAAATAATAAGAAAAGGGACTTACATGATCAATTAGTTCACGGACCATTCCGTTCCATTGTCCATTGGCATCATCCTGGGCTCCATATTTCCCATCCTCCACAAGTCTAATTTCGTATGTAAAGCCAAGGATTGTAGATAACTCTTTGAGGAGGTCAATACAATAGCCCTCAAATCGATCATTCCCATAAAGAGGTTTGTCAGACTTCTTAAATAAGACATAGGGTTCTTCCTAGAAACAGTGAACATGAAGGTAGGATGT